CCTCTGTCTAGAACAGCATCAGACCTGAGGCTTCTTAACCCCTGTCTCTTTCCCCAGTACCCCCAGTTCCCAAAGCCTCTGTCCTTGGTTTAATCATTAGAGTCCCTATTTCCAACAAAAGCAGACTTTAGAAAAGATTTAGGTTTAGCATATTAGAAGTGAGCTTAATCCAAAGTAAGTATGTTTCTGAAGATGGAAGCGCAGGAAGTAGATGTGTTATCACAGGCCTTGACTTCCGAGCTTCACAGAGGCTTTATTCTGACTGTAACACAAACAAAATTTACTGGAGAAAAGAAAGCACTGAGCTTTAAGGTTAGATTAGATTCCTAGTGATCTGAGAGGCTTGGACAAGTTCTTATAATACAGAACTGAAAACATCAATAGTTTTCTGGGATCTCACAGCAGTCTCTATTAGCAATTTAAATAACAGAAAACCACTAAATAGAGCATCTGGCACATGAGGACAATTTTCAAGGCAGCTCTCAGTATTCTTATAGAAACCTCTTTCTCTGGTCATAAAGAGAAATCAGTTGCCCAGAAAGTTCCATATTGTAGTGAGAAGAAAATTATGTATCTCACGAAAATATAATTTGAACTTGCTTCTCTAGGTGTATCTAGTTGAGACCCTCGTATGCCACAGGACAAATCCAGCTGGAGCCCTGCCAGTTACAATCCCTTCAAATGATGACCCCAGGGACCCCCAAAAGTGCTTGGCAGAAAGGGAACTGAACTGAGTGGTAAAGTGGAGATGTTCAGCTGAGATATTTAGCATGATCTGCTCAGCAGAGAGAACTCAGATTGATAACATCCTACTGTGACAGTAACACAGCTGATCAACGTCTAAGCACCGTTCCTGATTAATCCATACAGATAAGTCATTAACTGGAGGACAGGGGCGGCCACCCTGGATGCCCCAACTGTAGAAACTTATGGACAGTTTCATGTCCTTCCCTGTCTCCACTCTTCTCTTGCCGCTTTCTCCTCTCTTCCCCCACCCCCCCCAAAAAAAAAACACAGATGCAGATGATTAATAGCTACGGTGTAAGTGGCTGCTGAATCTAAGAGTTGTAAATATTCGTGCACTGATATAGGTACTATCCAACTCAAAGAAGTAAAATTCCAAAATAATTCAAGGGCTTGGAACTGGTATACTTTCCTACATGAAGATGATGCTATAAATTGCTTGTTAAGGGCCCACTTTAGTCCTTTTAACCCATGACACAGCTGAAACACTCTTCATGTTCATTTGTAATACAGAATATAGAAAACAAAGCTTCTGCCCTGCCCCCCACCCAACCTCAGCTCAGAATTTCTGTTTTAAGCCATCCTAAAGCTCCAGATGTCCCTTGGAATGTCCTCTATTTAATTTCAGAGACTGGCTCTGAAATATATCCCTAAGTGAAGCTACATGATTAAAATAAAAGAGTGAAATGATGTCAAATGAGAAAGGGAAGTATACTGAGTTGAACAGTGACCTCCCCCCCACAAATCCCTGCTCACATGGAACTACTGCATGTGAGCACATCTGGAAAAAGGGCCTTTGCAGATGTTCTAACACAGTGATTTCTGTCCTTCTAAGAAGAGGGCAATTCAGGGAGACAGAGAGATACCCACTATGTTAAAGGCAGAGGCAGAGACTGAAGAGATGACTTGACAAGCCCAGGAACACCAAAAACACTGGCCAAGAAAGAGGCATGGCCAGATACTCTTCCAGAGCCCCCAGGAAAGAAATAACATTTTCTACCCTGATTTCAAACTTCTGGGTTTTAGAGCTGTATAAAAAAGAACTTCTCTGTACTGGACTATGGTGATGGCACATGGGTGATTTGGTGATGGGAAATCCAAGGGGATTGCAACTGAGATGGAAAAATGCACAAATAGATGTAAAAATAAACTATTATTAAAAAAAATTCTCTTGCTTAAGTCTCCATTTTGTAGTAATTTGTTACAGAAATCCTAGAAATAAACACAGGAAAGGAATACCTACCTACAGATTAGAAATCTGGGAGGAAGGTGGGGACCAGAACAGACACAGACTTTCTTTCAGATATGTATTCTCCCCTCTTCAACAATTCTTCCAACTACATTTTCACTGACATTGGTTTGTGCTGCTGCTGAAAGCTTTTCACATCCTGTTCTACTCCTGTGGTTACAGCTGAACGGCACCATTAGAAACGAATGAAGATGGAAAATGGATTGAGCCAACAGGCAGAACTCATTTGCCTTCAAAAATAGGGTGGTAGAGAGAGACAAACAGAGGATGTATAAAGAGCTGCTTCCTAGCTTCAACCCAAGTTCAGGCTTTCCTTAGCAACGGGGCAGTAGCAGCTGGTTAGTCTAGCACTAAGTCATTTCCTCACACAACCCCCTCCCCACCAAACCTTGACACTGAAGGGCCTCAGAGTCAATGTAATTCATAAATGCCCAGCCTTCCCTGGGACGATGCTCGAGTGTGGATGCTGCTGAGTGTGTATCTACACAGTGGTGACACTCAGAGATGCACCTGCACACTGAAGCCTATTTTCTCTTTTGGAATTTTCTCGACACACTGTCCACTCTTGAGCCTTTTCTCCTTTGTTTTCTTTTCTTTTTTCTTTTTTAAATTTTTTTCTCAAGAGCAGGTCAAGACTGTTTTCAGCACTTGTACCCCGGATGGGAAAAAAGACAAAGCTCTAATGGATTTCAGTTTTGTCAGGGGCTGCTCCTGCTAGTCCTCGCATACTCATCAGTGTTAGCAGAAAACTGTTTTTCATTGGTATTCAGCAAACGTTTATTGAGTGCCTGGATATGGAAACCCCGGTTTTTTTTCTGGGGAGACAGTGACTTAAAAAAAAAATACCTGTGGAGCTTAAAGTTTAGTGAAAGCAGATAGAAAGCAGGCAATGTAAATGCAGTATGTTTGTGAGTTTGTGATAGAGAGAGACAAAAATTGGGGAGGGAGGGTATAAAGAATAGAAGGGGCTGGAGGAGGGACATTTTTTTTTTTTTTTTCATGTGAATTTTATTTTATTTTTTTTTTGAGCTTTTTTTTTTATATATATATTTTTTTATTAAAAAGTTTATTTTTACATCATTTTTCACATTTTTTTTTTCATCTCAATTGTAATCCCCACGGGTTTCCCATCCAGAACAGGCCTCACTTAGTAGCTGCTATTTGAGCCAGTCCTGACGGAAGGGTAAAACAACCTAATGACTGGGAAGAGGTTCCAGGAGAGGGGTCCCCGAAGCCACAGCAGCCCTGAGGTAGGAGCATGGCCGCTACATCTGGCCATGTGTGAGGAGGCCAGTTGGTCATAGAGAGCTCGAGGTAGCAGATGATGGTGGGCCATGCAAGACTATACGAATGTAGACTTACTCTGAGTACTCTGGATGAAACTGCAAGGTTTGAACAGTCAGCCCATAACTGGCTGCAAAACTTTTGGGAGGTAATGGATCTGAGCATCTTTTTTTTTTTTTTTTTGTCTCCAGAATGCAAAGGCTGTGCCAGGTAAATATCTAAGTTCTCTTCCAGCTGTAACAATAACCAGATACCTAGAGAACACGAGGTTCCCATAGGCAGACAGCTCATAAATACACACCCTTCCCTCCTGCTCCATATCTCTTAAGCTGTCAGAGCTCAGCAGTGACCCAGTGTGGGCTTAGAAGAAAGCCTGGCTGTACACACAGCCACTGTGACAGAGGGGAAGCATTCTGGTGCATGAAACACTGGGATTTTAAGAGATGGGTAGTGACTGTGACGAATTGCTGACACCAGCTAACTCTCAGCAGTGCCTGGAGTGTCCGAAACAAGACTGACACTTCACCCAGGCACTTAATGCCCTGCTGGCTGTCACCCCAATCAGCAAACTGGGGCACACCTTTAAGAGTCAAGAAAGTGGCCAGAGAGGATCAAACAACTTTTCTTTCTGCAATAGATAAAAATCTAAAAATAAGCATTTTCCTTTCTAATCATTTCATATCATCCATAGAATGGTCTCTTGAATTTTCAAGTTTGTTTACTTCATTTCTGTGAGTCGTATGAGCTCTGAATAGTGTCCACCAGTATGCTTTCTCTCTAAATAGGAGAGAGGGAGCGAGGATGGAGTTTTATTTCGTTCCTCTTTCTTTTTACTGATTTGTCTTTCTAAAAAACAAAACAAAACAAAAAGGTAATTTTAGCTACAATATGAGGTAAAGACTCTTATTTTTCTTCTTTGTCTTTTATTTTGTTAATTATCTTACTTCTCAGTGAATAAATCACAGTTCTAGGCACAGTTTCCTGGCTTCACAGAGAAGATCTATAACTACTGCTAAATTCAGATCTATATTTATAAACGAATCATTCTATCAAGTGTCCCTAGTATGTCACCGCCGCCTTCCCATACTGTCTTATTAACAGTTACCTATTAAAGCATCTCTTGACAGACCAAAAGATTCAGGAAACCTCCTCTATTAGTGTGTTATCACCCTTCCACTCTAACACCATCTTACACATTCCACAAAACCACTAAAAACCATTGTGACTCTAGATTCCAGATGAAAGAAAGTTAGCAGAGTCTGTGGTTTTACCTCTGATACCTGCATAGTGCCTAAAACACATCAAATGCTCAGAAAATGTTTGTTCCATAAACAAATGAAGCATGAGTTTAAGTGTAACACCAACCATCTTGGCACTGGGCTATACCTCCTTCCCTTTACTTTTCACGAGACTTTGCCAGTCAGAACTCAGATGTGGTCCACGGTGAGGTTGTGTGTCAGAGAACCCCCGGTCACTGGCTGGCGACACAGAGGGTGACACCTATCTGCCCTGCATGTTACCAAATCAAAAAACACAGACCAAATGTCACCCAGACTGCCTAGCACAAATTGGTGTAATGAGAAAATGGAAAAGCGATACTTTCCTCTTGTGACTTCATTAGCAATGGGGTCCAGGATGCAAAAATACCAGCACTCAGACTTCATTTACAGCTTCTTGGGAACAGACCTGGTCTGGTCCTCCCAAGCGCCCCCACGTGTCTTACCTCAGCAGCAGGGACTCCCTCTGGTGGGCGGCAATGCAGCACAATCATGCCTTCAATGGGAACCTCCCTTCCCTGTGGGTCTTGTTCAAAATTCTTCCGTAAATCTGCAAAAAAATCATGAGATGTATGACACTCTCTGGGGCCAGAATTATTCACTTTTGCCCCAAATATTATAAAACAGTGAGCTTAAAGTCACCATCTGTAAACACACACATCACTTTTTCCAAAGTTCCAGAATAGGTATCACTTTTCCAAATGTTCAGAAGTCCATTTGAAATAAACCTGAACAAAACTGTCCCTAACAACAAGCTGCTCTATATTGATGTGAAGAATGAAAGAATTACTGGGAGAGCAGGGAAAAAAAAACTCATAATTTCATAAGTCTTTACCAGCATTATCTGCTTAGCATCTGATGAAACACTTGGCCTAATAAATTGCCACCCACAGCTATTATGCAGTAGAGATACATGTGCTCTTTTTATTAACAAAAGACTACATGATTAACTGTAACCTCTGCTGTTCCCTTAGCCCTCTAGGAGGCTCTAAAAGATGGTAACAGAGTGAGATTACCTGTTAGTCTTTTATTTGTAACCAGGGAGAAGGGGTCACATCCAACCACAACAAAATCTATAACCTCTTCAACAAAACATATGATTAAAAACACCAAAACCCAAAACCAACTCCCTCCAGTCAAACAGCAATGCTGGGTATTTGTATAGTGCCCTTAATGGAAGGCCGCAGGCACTCTGCAAACAAGCTGCACTATTAACCTTTCACACATGGAAGGGTGACTCTTACATAGGTTAATTGGCTTGCCAGTGGTCACAGACAGCATTAGTGCCAGTGATGGGGAAAAAAAATCCACTACGTTTCCTGATGCCCAGCCCTGGCTGCTAACCCAGAAAGACTTTTGCAGGGAAAAACAAAACAAAAGAAAACAAAACAAAAAACCAAATACACACATGGACAGTTCAGAAAGTAAGAGCGTCATTTGCATGACTTTCCACTTGAGCATATATACTTCATTAAAACAGTGGGGAGTTAGCCGTGGCTTCTTTTGAGAATGTTTTAAGAATTTTAGAGCAGGAGGCTAATTCTTTCTATCACTAGAAATCATAGGGTAGTAGAGCAAAGACAGGCTCACAATCTTCTTCAGTGTAAAAGATTTCCCTCCCAGCCTGACAATGTATTTTTCTTCAATTGGGTATCTCAAATTACAGGCTGTAGATTTATTGATTTAATTTTCTCTAGTGCTTACAATAACATGAAATATGTTCCCTGTAAAGAGCAGAGCTTTAGAATCAGTTACATCTTTATAAATTGTATAAATACATTAAACTTGCTTTTAGCAAGTCAAAAACACTCAATGAATAACAAGCATAGCAAGCTATGCATTCACTTTCTTCTGAATTTTGCTTTTAAAGTTTCCCTCCTAGAGGCAACTGGTGCCTTTTGTTGGTAAGTGTTATATATTCAGAGATTTTCACTGAGAGTATATGAAGTCAAATGCCTTGTGTTGCAGACAGGTGGCAGGGTCCACCTTCCCCTCTCACTGCTGTGTCCCAAGTTGTAATGTCAATTTCCTCCTACCAGAGATCCTTAAATTGCCACAACCTTTGCCATTAGGAATTTTTAATTCCAAATGTGATGAAAGTCACCTACTAGATAGCAAAGTCATAGCTGAAGTTAAACCTCAGGGTGAAGTATTTCACATTTCCTAACCAGCTGGCCAAAATTTCTCCTTTTATCTACCACAAGGAATCTTAAGTCAAAGATCCCTTTTCATATATTCACAGGATATATTAACATTTGCCTATCATAGAATATGAAAGTCTCTGACACCAGACATCAGTTTGCTAATTAAAAGGATTATGTTCGATGGCTAATTCTGTTTAGCTTATTTGTCTTTTTTCTTTTCTTTTCCTTGATTGCTTTGTTTTCTAAAGGAAGTCTTACTCAGTGCTACTAAATGATGATTGCAGTTTTGACAACACCAAATAATTTGCACTCAACCAGATGAAGCACAGAAAACTAATAGTAGGGATTTCTATTTTGTCTCCCTTTACTATTTCCTTTTTTTACTCAGTAGAAATGGAAAAGGTTAACAAAATGGATAGTTTATGATTAGCTCCACATGCTACCATATTAAATACATCGAGAGATGCAAAAATAGAATGAAGTCACTTCCTTTCCCCATTTCCAAACACTCAATGGAAAGAATAGATACATATGAAAAAGGAAATTGCTGTATTAGTATTGGAATTCAGAAAGTGTATTACTATACAAGAAACTGAGAAAAATCTAATGTCATAATAGGCAGGATCAGATTGAAGAGAAGACCAATCCGACCTCTTGTTCTTCAATGTGCAAATATATCAAATTGAAAAATTAAAGATAATGGAGTATGAAACAACTGAGGTATAAGATATTAACTGCCACATATCAGATAACAGATGGGTCAACTGGTAACAGGAAACCAATCAGGAATCAGATTTACACCAAATGAGAACCCCAGTATGAAGGCATCCAGTATGAGTGACACTAAAGCAAGTGTCAGGGATACTGATAATTTTGATATCCCAAACATGCCAGTCAAATTCCAGGTTGCTAGTGAATATATTAAAAAAAATATGGAAATAAAGTGTCAGACACAGAGGTACATGGTTTCAGTTCTACCTCTGATTCTTACCATGGGTAATTAAAACTAATTAGCTTCTAGTTGACAATAATCCGTATTTTAGTACTTTTTTTTAATCACTTATGCGTATTTCAAGGCTTGAGAGAATTCAGATAGGAACCTGTACAACTTATCATAATAGGGAAAACATCCCTACACTTATAAAAAGAATTACACTACCAGTGAAGAAACAGACCAGAAAGCTGAAATTAAATGGCTTCCTCTATGAGACAAGAGACATTTTTAGATAACTTCTATTTTAAGTCTTTAAAGTCAAAGGAAATAGCAACTGAGACTCTAGAGTAGGGAGTTATAAATAGGATAACATCTGAGATCAAGAAATCTGCCACTATGCAAGAAAAAAAAACACACATATTACTATTGAATTAGAAACACACACACACACATCATAGAGACAGTAAATAGTACACTGAATATTGTAGACAACGGAACTAGAGACACAGAAAGGCATGCATATTAGTCAGGACTCGCATAGCAAAACAGAAAGAGTATCAGTAGTGTTATAGGGATTATCAATGTGAAGAACTGGAGAACTAAAAATGCAAAAGGGTGCGCCCTCCCTAGTGGCACAGCGGGTTAAAGCAGAGCATCAAGAAACTAAATCCATTTCCGCATTAGTTCTATTCCTGCCTTCCCCGGAGGAGAGGCTCGGCAGACCTCTCCTGACCCGCCCGCTGCTCCCCTCAGCAGTGTACTTTGTCGATCTGCCTGTTCTGCTCCCCACTCTGTCCCTGGTGAATCCTCTCACCCTCAGCATCTCTGGCCTGTACCCCAGTTCTGTATGAATAAATAAATAAATCTTTAAAAAAAATGCAAAAGGGTAAATGCAGGAAGCAGATCCTCCTCTAGGTTCTACTCTAGCTGGGAGTAGAGAATTAAGGGGGGAAAGCTGAGGTTGTAGAACTCCTAACTGTAGTGAGGGAACAAAGACCAAGGAGGACAACAATGGGTGTTGGTGCTGGTGGCACAGGATCTTGGGAGAGGAACCCAAGCAGTTGAGATCCAGACCTCCCTCTGAAGAGGGAGAACCCACAAGTTTGGAACTGGGATCTCCAAAGAGGCATAATGGTATAGGTCCTAAAAGTATTTGGAAAACAATTAAAAAGCTCAAACAAGAAGTGAATCATTTCCAGTATGAATAAACTCTGCTGTTGTGATGCGGCCAGTGACAGCAGGAATAGGAAGAGGTGCTCTTTCTTCCTCTTCCTCCAGCCCAGTATTCCCTAGAACCTCTATTGGTGAAACAGCTAACAGAGCTGGGATCTGACACGCAAGTTCCAGCCCAACTTCACAAGTTTACAAACCAGTGGTTTTAAAAATACTCAAAATACTCAAATACTCAAAATACTCAAATTTAATAGGGCTCTTATTATTACTCACGCTGAGTCATCTCCTTTCCTAAATCAACAGGTCTACGCTTCATGTTTGAGATGTTCACCCTTCTAATTCCAGGGCCTTTTGCAAGATCTGATTCAGGGAATGTCCTTAATATATGTTGGATAAATGAACTAAGAAGAAAATGATAACATACCAAATAAAGCAATAAATAAAAATACAATGTTGACATAAAGGAATAAAATATTAAATAGCTATATTAAAAGGACTAACAAGCGGTTAAAAAAGTTAAATCAAGAGTGATAATAATTCTTCCTTGAATTGAAAAATGACTTTAACTTGCAAAAGAACTCACTGAAAATGGGCAAAATAGATTCAAAAAGACAAAGAATGATATATAATAGTTGAAATATTGAATTTTAACACAATTAAGAAAATTGTAAAAATAACTGCAGTAAACATATAGAAGTAACTAACAATTCCATGGATTAGAAGAATATTGGGAACTGAAACCTGAGTATCTCTCTGTTTCGATTCTGGACACTTATTGGCACCTTGACTCATTAAGTATCTTTATCTTTCTTTGATTCAATTCCTTTGTCTGTAAAATGATAGTAATATCTAATATATAAAGTTTGGGTTAGTATTAAACACTAATATAGTTAAATCCTCTTAAGATAACTGAGTGTATAATAGGGCTTAGTAAAAGTCATACATATTATTACATCCTATTAGAGAGCATAATGCTTATTGGGTGGTTTTGTCATTAATCAGATACACAAATTAATTATAAACTAGACCATTTTCAAAGACACATGTAAATAATAATTCAGTCTGATAAAAGTGACATGTACATTAAATAAGAAAGGCATTAGAATGAAAAATAAAATCAAGTTTGTTAATTTATAGCAATATAAATCCAATATTTTTTACAGTCTAAATCCCATCCAAATAAAGATATTTTCTACCTCAAACCACAGCAGTAACAAATACTTACTGACTCTTTAGGATGAGAAGTCTTTTTTATAAACCCAAAAACAGAAGAATGATTAAGGAAATGATTGGTAAATA